AGTCCGGGACTGAGGAGGAGGATGGGGAAGTAAAGGATGCAAAGGACAGCAAGTCCCCTGCCACCGACACCGCGACAAAGACCGCAGGCACTCCAAAGGACTCATTGCCTGCCAAACCTACAGGACCCAGGGAAAGCAACAAGCGTGATTCAACTCCGCAAGGTCCTCGCTCGTCAGCTCCAAGCTCAGGACCTGGCTCTGGTCCAAACGGGCCCAAGGCTGATGCTCGGCCAAACACCCTTCCCGATCGGCCTCCCCATACACTCCCAAGCAGACCTGATGTGCCCATCCCTGCTCACTTCACTCCCGAGCGATATAACCAATCTCGAGGACATGATCGGCGAGATGGCAAAGAGCAACGGGATCCACGCACCAGAGACCCTCGTGAGCCCCGAGACTCTCGCGACAATCGAGATCAAAGAGAACCTAGAGAGCCTCGCGAGGCTCGCGAGAATCGCGATCACCGTGAGATACGCGAGCAGCGTGATAACCGATCTTTTGATGCTTCTCGCCCTGATCGGCCGCGAGAGTACTCTGATCGCCGGGGACAGGAGCACGGCCGAGAACAGGCGAGGCCTGACGCACCTTCGCGCCGGAATGACCATGAGCGTGAGCGGCCTCGGGATTCTAGAGGCGGTCGAGGTCATGAGCACGGCCGTTTGAATGAGCCGCCTGCTCAAGCTCCCACCGCGCCTACTGGTAACACCGACGCACCCGAGCCTCACATCAACCCTGAAAGGGCTGCCCTGCTTGCCCAAGAGCCTGAGCGAACCCGTGCCCCTGGTTCTGATCGACCCAGTAGGAGCCGTAAGAATGCTCCCGCTGAGCCGATAGAGGGCGTCAACCCAGAAAGGGCAGCCTTGATAGAGAACAGAGACAGCACGCCATCTCGCCCACCTCGAGACGAAGGACGCGGTCGCAACTCGCGTGCTCAGTCTCCTCGACGAAGCGGGCGCTATGGACACGAGAGTGGTCCCCAAGAAGGCCGTGAGGAACGACACGACCGGAATCATCCAGTAGATCACCGGGCTTCAGGAAGAGACCCACGGGAGCGTTCCCCAATGCCGAGCAACTATCGTGGCGAAAGGCCAGCGGATCGTGAGAATGATAGAGCGTCCGGAAACAAGACTCGCGACGCTTCGGGCTTCCATGGTCCCTCCTCACGCGGTCCGGAGCCTGAGCATAAGCCGCCTCATCAGGACGACTCATATGGGCGTCTCAATCCGATTCAAAGCGTAGCCGATATTCCTTACGGCCCTCGAGGTCGTGGACGAGGATCTGCAAGGGGCGGGCATGGTGGACCACAAGGCCTTCCAGGTCGACTGGACAACCGATTCGCTGCCCCAGAAGCCGAGCGACCACCCACTCCTGATAGGCCTCCTCCGACTGGCCCATCGTCAGGCAGGGGACGACGAGGCGGGTATGAGCAAAATGCTGGACCAGTGACTCCATCGAGCACTCCTGGAGGCCCACAGGGCAGAGTTAGAAACTCTGGCCCGGGCCAAGGCATGCCATCTCCCGCATCGACCAACGCAACACCTTCGGGTGTTCATCCTGAACGACTTGCTCAAATCGGTAACTCACTGCCTCCTCCTCCACCACCAGGACCACCACCCCATGGCCCAAGTCACAGTCATGGCCATGGTCGTCAGTCCATGCCTGGAACCAACACACCAGACCGAGGATCAGGCCCTGGGCCTCGTCAGACCCCCGGTAGCTACGCAGGGTCTCCAGCAGGCGACGGAGGTGTACCCACTGGTCCAGCTTCTTCCAACGAGCGATCCCGCAATGGTGGCAGCCGGAGGCAGCTGGCTGGTATAAACAGCACGCTGCAGCAAGCACAAGCCAACATGCCAGACATGAGTCGAAGCAGTAGCATGCGAAGGAACCCACCCAGACAGACGCTTGGTGGTTCAGATGCACAGGTCCTCACAGGGGGTTCTCCCGTTAGCACACCTGTTGTCGAACGTCAAGACCCTGTTCGACATGAAACGTCAAGCCGAGCACCTGCCAACGGGGAGGAATCATCTGGTCGTGGTGAGCATGAACGAAGCCGTCGGGATCGCGAAAGCCGGTCCAACCGCGCCTCACGTCGAAGCAGCCGAGAGCGAGATAGAGAACGAACGCCAGGCCGGGAACGTGATGGCAAGGAGCATCGTGAGTATCGAGAACGACGCTCGGGAGCTAGCGAGGGTGGCCGAGAGGAGCGAGAGTCCTCAAGGCGGTCGACTAGAGATCAAGGCGGCAGTGGACGCGAACCAATGGGCCCTCCTCCCACTGGCGGAAGAGACCTGGTGCAAGGACGGGAGAGCCGGCATCGAGGTGAAAGCCAAAGTGGGCGAAGTGGCGAGGATTGGGGGAGCAGCCGAGGTGGACGTGGAGGACAACGTGAGGGAGGCTTGAGGCCTGAAGATCGCCGCGAAGGGCGAGAGGAACGTGGACGAAAGAGGAGAAGTGAAGAAGGAGTTGGCGGATTATCGAGCGAGCGCGAGAAGCGACCCCGACGATGAAGGGATGTTGATTGGGACAGTTGAGTTCAGTTTGAGGAGGAAACAAAATCATGGTATTTGCCAAAGAAAGAGATGTCAAGATGGCATCTGATCAAAAAAGCTGTTACAATGGTGGACGACCAGCACAGAGGACGACGGACGGACGGACGGATACGACCGAGCACAGTCTGATCAAGAACAAGAACAAGAGCGAGAGAGAACGAGAAAGTCGGCGGCGGCGAAGCAGACGAAAATCGCATCATCAGGGCGTTTATCTGGACTTGTCTATTTTTTTGCTTGGCTTGCTCCGTTCGACCTTGCATTACCTTACACATCTCCTTCATTCACTACTTGCTACTACTACAATTATTACTGCTGTTACCACTACTATTGCCATCCACAAATGGAGGGCTACACTCGACACACATTTTTGAGATGGATGCGACATGGCATCAATCAGACTCGAGGCACCAGCGGGCGACATCAATTCGCATCGTTCGACCTCATTGTTTTAAAAAATGACTTGGGAAAGGGGGGGGGAGTTGGGCATGGATTGGATTTTAGATACCCGGCATCGATACCTAGTTTTTTCGGTTTTGTAACATCAGATTCAACAGCATTGGGAGTGGAACGGTTAAACTGGCTCGGTATTGTATTATTGAGCACTGTAAAAGGAAGGCGCTTGTCTACACAGCGAGGCTATTGATAGATCACAGCAAAGGGACATGCCCTGGAGATTTGGTGTTTTCTTGGTCAGAGTCACAAAGTCAAAAGACTTGAGCGAGCATGGAACAAACCACTTGCGTGATTAAGAACATGTTTACTATGAACATATCGACATCAAGGCTAATAATTAGTCGAGGCATTGCCCTATCTTCATACGTTTCTTCACCCACCTTTATGAGGACTACTCTATCAATGGCCTAAGTACTATCTTACACCCACCCTATGTCCCTACGAAGATGAAAGACTCTTATCCATGACTCTTCAAAACCGAGTCTATTCTACCGCCTCTTTTTCCATCAATCACTCAGTCCTTGACCTTTCCTATACCTTCTCGCCATCGCCGAGAATGAGTCACTACGCCCCCTGAGCCATACCCCGTTCGACAGTCACTTCTGCAGATCTCGACCCTTCTATTTCCCTCAGAAACCCGACTCCAAAGCGTCCACATCATCCAAGTGGCGCCTCTACATCCCAAGCCTCGGATCTCTAGCCAGGGGATGATTATCCGGAAGCGGTCGTCCCTTCTCACACGTGAACGAGCCACTATCGTCATCTACGAAAAAAGAGCTTCTTTTCAACAGTCTAGAATGGTTTTTTTTTTTTTTTTTTTTTTTTTTGACACTACAAAAGTTGTGAGCCACAAACGTCCAGAACAGAGTCTAAAACCTTCGAGTCAAGTAGACAGTTGAAAAAGAAGAACAAGCTACGCGCCATCTGCCGCCTCTCACTAACAGTTGAACCAAGACGACACAAACTTGGGGGGCTGTTTCACGTGGCTCAGGCTGAGACAGGTTGTCGAGACCGTTTACAGCCAAAACAGCCAGACAGGCACAAAAACATTGACTTTGATACCATGATTGCGTGGCTGTTCGAGTTGTCGTTGCATATGGTGAGACAGTCAGGAAGTCCTCATCATAGACATATACTGTAACAGAGTGTACAGTTCATTGCACTGCCACATCACAAGTAACCACGTCACTAGACTTCAAACCTGTGTCATACCAGTAAGTGGTTGGTTGAATTGTGTGTGTGCTATCAACTACCCCAGGTAACACTCGTCAGGCAGCATCCTGACCTTTCCCTGACATCAAGAAAGAGAAAAAACTATACTTTTTGCCGCCAGGAATCCTCCTCATCCTATAGTCTTTAAACTCTATGTACAAAGAAATCCGTCCCAAAAAGAAACCGACAACGACGACCCCCGTGTATTATATCCAGACCAAAAGGAGCAATGACTGTGTGCAACTTGTTCAGCCAGAATGGCCTGACCAATAGATCCTCGCACTATAGCTGCACCAGCCCCAAACTGTCCATTCATCGCAGTCTCGCAAAGGTCGTCGTTGTCCTCATGCCCCAAGTATAAGTCCGAATCGAAACGAGACAGTCGGCCACTGCCCTCATAACCATGCAGATAGCACTCGCTACCAATGAATGAGTCATCCCATGCATGCATGCCCTTCCCTTCATTCCTTATACCGGCCGCTTGCTGTGTATGTATGTACCGTGCCATGACCATGACCGTGACCCCGCCCGCCAGTCGCTGGGGGAACGTGTCCCTTGCCTTGTGTTGTGCCTGCCACTGTGTAATGTGTCCCTGAAAAATGCCAACGCCTTCCTGGTATCATCTTGAAATGCAACAAAAACCCCCAACAGGGTGTGGAAATGTGTGAGCCCGAGAATGCGAAATTCGTTTCGTTTACTTCATGACCTTGAGCGGCCCCGTGTCCGTCCGCGTGGAACATTCTTCGTCAATCGGCTTGTCCGTCACCGTCACCCGAGGACGCCTCAAGTTCCGGGAGTGGGATCTGGGTTGGTTGCACGGAGCACCTTGGGTGCCTGAATCCTCCTCGAGTAATCGTGGTCATCCCGGAGCGTGTTGATGCTTTCGTGGCTAGCGCTGCGGACGTACAGTCCTTGCTTGAACGGGTCCATTCGTGGGTCAACCTGCAACGTGCTGTTGCGGTTGCTAGCCCCAGCTGCCGACACAGGTGAGCCGGCCGCCATGCTCATATCAGGTCGCTGAGCAATGCCCGAGGAGCTATCTCGGATGCTTGGGTCATCATGGAAGGCCTCCTGCTCATTCTGCTGCTTCTTGCGGCGGAACCAAATGAACAGTACAAGAGCCGCGAGACCCAGGACGGCGATAATAACGCCCACGACGATGCCGACAACCTGGCCTGTACTGAGACCACTCTTCTGTGACTTTTCATTCGCGCTTTCATTTGCCGAGACACCGGCGGTGGTCGACTGTGTTGGGGCAACTGTGACAGTCTTGACAGTTCCTCCAGCAGTGACTGTCTGCACTAGAGACGTAGGCTCCTCAGTAGTTGTCGAGGTTGATTCCTCTTCGGTGGAAGTCGAGGTTTCTTCTTCCGATTCCGTCTAAGGCCATTGTTAGCACCTATCCAACGACTTATTAATCACATCACCAGTTTCCGATTTGGAATAGCATGCGTGTCGAGATCAAGCGTACAGTTGAGCTTTCTGGCTCCTCCGTTGAGGAAGACTCGGATGTCGGTTCCACTGTTACTGTGTTCTGCACCGTCTCAGTTACCTTGGATATGATCGCAGTGGGTTGTGCCTGAGTCTTTGCCAGTTAAGCCGCGATGTCTTACCAAGCGGAAGGGGGCGAAAGGATCAAGAATACGCGTGGCAGATGAGAAAGCTGGAGGACGCTTGTCCAGGCATGGCATGGATGGGTGGATGGATGGATAGATGGCAATCACAACAATACAAATAGGCATGAATATCACGAGATGCTACTTACTGTGGTCTTTGATGATGAGGACGAAGGCCCCTGTGTGCCAGAAGGCAGGACGTTGCCTAGAGACACATAACCGTATAGGCCATCTCCACCGCAGTTCTCGGAGGGCCAGGCTGGACAGGGGATGTCGCATTTTGATGTATCCTCCTGCGTCGATTTGGAGGGGACGTAATTTGAGCACCAGCACAGCTTGTCCTGCGTAATGGCGAAGGCGTAATCGTCGATGCAAAAGTCATGGCAGAGACCATTCGTTTGATAGATGCTCGAGTCTGTAGATCATGGTTATTAAAGATTTTGAGAACCAAGTCTGCAAGTGCAAGACATACTCTTGGGGGTTGAGCCAGTATTGAAGCTGGCGCAGTATTCAATGTCCAAAGCACTGGCAAGAGGTGCCCAGGACGATGCTAATAGGAGAAACACGCCTGCTGGCAGGGCGTTCCTGCAAGGAGGAAACATGATTATGAATTTGGTCCAAAAGCCTATAACGAGACGAGGTTAGGAACTGTCTGGCGAAGAGAGATGGAGAGCATGCGGAGGGAGGCCGAGTCCATGACCATTGCTGTAACACACCTTTACCGATAGAGTCGACGGCGAGAGAGCATGTGAAGTCGAGTGCGACACAGATGAAGCAGGTGAATCACCATAACACGGTCGCGAAAGCTCTCAGATGGTCGAATTCATATCACGTCGGATATCGAGATGTGTAGTGCTACCGGGATTGTTTTCGCGAGGAACGTCTCGAAACCGGAACTGATCAGCCGATATCGCTAGGGCGACGACCCGGGTCGAGTGAGGTCGCACAGCCAAGCTGTCGAACAAGACGACGGGGTTTGGCGAAAAGATGTATGCTTGAGCGAAGGTGATATATCGGATCACGGCGCTGATTCGAGCTCGACGATAGCGACGGTGGTGTTGGGATGAGGTAAAACGACGGTGGTGAATGAGTCAAACCGCGCAGGTTAAAGTTCTCAAAAATTGTTTGTCGTCGATGAATGGGCCCGAATAATCCAACACGCAGAGCGAATCCAACACAGCTGCAACGCAAGCAAACGATGCCTCCAAAAAAAAAGACCCAAGGATTCAAATGATCGTCCCAAGTAAAGCCAAAAAATTCCAAAAATTACCGGGGAGGGAGCAAGTGAAAAGAGAGGACAACTCCAAGCCGGCAAATGGATATCGCGGAGGCGGACTGGGCGAAAAAGAGGTTGGGGAAGATGGTGAGAGATTGGAATGCGTGGCTGGAGGTGAGGTCGAGACGAGAGGAAGAGCGAGTGTAAGGTAGGTACGGATAGAGGTAGGGAAAAAGGTGTTGGAAGGAGCGACAGGACGAGGGTGGTCGAATCAGGTAAGAGCCAAGTAGGTACCTGTACCTTGGCAATCTAGCACGGTACTCCCGGGTGGTGCTTGCCCGCGCCAGCGCCAGCCTACCTTGCCTTCAGTTGGGACTAGCGGAGGGGCGGCGGCGGCAGAGAGGAGCAGCAACGACCAGGGTAGGAAACCGGGAAGGAAGGGACGGAAGACGAGGTTCCTATTCCTAACCAAAAAGGATGGAACCAGAAGACGGACTGAGGAGCGCTCGGGAATAGCGACGGGTGGAGGAGAGACGGTCTAACCCTCGAGATTTGGTCTAAAAGGACGAGTCTAGGCGACAATCTGTCAATGACTGACTGCTTCTCGTGATTGAAGCCAAGTCTACCAGAACGAGCGAGCCTATCCGAGAATCCGTCCTGTCTCTTGTTCGTCCCGTCGAGTACGAGGTTTGGCTTCCGTTACGAGGCCAGTGAATCCTGTGGTCTGGGTACGTACCCCCGGGGGACAGGACACAGGACAGGACAGTTCAGGTCTGCAGGGGGGCGTGAGGCCAAAAGTCAAGTCAGGATCCAATGCTCAGCTAAAAAGCCAAGGACCTAAAGGGCTCCACGCAGCCCAGAGCAAGATGAGCGAAGGAGCCAAGATGGATAGGCTTGCGCGCGCGCACGGAAACGAGCCACTCCGCGGACTAACACCGAGTGAAGGAGGGCTTTTTCTCTGTTTTCCTCTGGTGATGATGGTGGTATCGAGGCGCTCGAAAAATTTACCGTCTCAGTGGTGGCAATAGGGAATGATTGTGATGTGATGTGACGGGACGGTCAAACGGTCAAAAGGGGGAGTAAAGGAAGGAGTGAAGAGAAAGGAATGGAGACAAGTCAATTGTTTGAACAGAATAGAAACAAGAAAGCGAGGGAGAATGCAAAAGGAGGAACTCAGCTCAGCTTGATTGAGTCCAGGGAGATAAATTTGATCGACTTGGAAAATGCCTGAGGTAAGCAAACTCCATTCATCACTGATTGCTGGGTCGTCATGAAGCTGAAGCTGAATTGACCTCGACGCCGCTGTCACAGTGACGAACTACTGAGAAAAGGTCCCTCCCCAATACGCTAAAACACGCGGCTTCTGCAGTGCCCTTGGGCTTCAACTTCGTCCCGTTGCCCTATCCGGACAGCGGAGGGGGAGCCCCTGGTGAGTGATGTCGTCACCAGCAAAGCTCAGCGCCATAGGCCCTGGGCAGCGCGGGTGTCGTGTTGTTTTGGGCCACTTTCAGTTTCGGCTCAGCGATTGAACGACTAGGGGCGTGTCGTGTCGAGTCCATCGGGGGAGTGGGAGTGGTGGATCTGCTTGCTGAAAGTGGGTGTGGACTCTCTCGGCACGGCGATCTCGATAAACAGGTAGAGGTACATGGGCGGATACGGAGGGTTGGAGTGACCGACAATCGCAATTCGAAGCAGAGATCCCCAAATCTGGTGGTCCATGGCATGTGGGATATTGGCATCCCTGTCTCTCTCTCTCTCCGTTGCTACTGACGGTTTTCCAGATGCTCAGACGCTTCAACGGTCAAAGGCATTCATTTACTGGCGATTAACTCGAATTGCTTTCTCAGCCATGGTCGTCATGTTCCTGAAGGTCATAATCTAGACCTGAGAGGGCTTGCCGCCGGGCTGAGAAAATGAAATTGGACACCATCCATTTCACATCGCCCAGGCACCCTCCTCGGCAACCGAATATCCGAATTGGCCTCGAGTCTTGGCCTCTAATCTAATCGCTACTGTCTGTTGCTGTCCCAGGGCCATTCGCTCCGCTGGAATGGGGTTCAATCAAAATCTCTGATTGATTGCCCGTCGTTTGGAATCAGCAATCACTCCAGGCAACTTCTCGCGAAGACTTGTCAATTCGTGACATGTACGACAGCGACAATGATCGAGATAACGACGTGCGGCGCTAGAACGAGACATAGAACGAGGCGCCTCAGATCTTGACGTCTTGCTTTGCTCCGTCGAGGCCTGAAAGTCCGCTCCGTCCTGAATCAAGATCGATAACTCTCCCAAGCATCATGATATGAGAGAGACATCCACCGGCCCCGGTTTAAAACGCCAGATCTAGTCGACACAAAAACCGGCACGCCTCGGAAAGAGATGGCCTCATGTACTGCGTGCTTGTTTTTGGCTGATGGCCTCAAAGCTGCAACACCCATCAACCCCATGCCCGTCATCTTGCTTCACAGGCAAGCTGTGGCTCCACTAGTGTCCACTCTGAAAGACGCGCAATATCGTGAGGCTAGCGGGTGCCATGGATCCATTCTCACAGACAATGAGACGATTGTGTAGAAGCGATTTGAAGAGAATGAGAGTGTGTGTTGTTTACAGCTGAATACATTGCCGCTCCTCCCGTTTAACTCTGTACCATCCCCTCTCCAGGCGCCTGACGAGGCTAATTTAAATCAACCTACTAGTCCCTGAGCGCGGCGCCAGCGCCGTTGGACGTGGCATCACCCAGTTTAGGAAACGGTGACCTACCGTAACGGGCCAGTTCCGGCCCCTTTTTGCTAGGCTGGCAAGATTTAACTCGAACTCGATCCCGCTCTGTCGTAGTGGTGGTGGGTGAGAAAATGGCGTGTCCCGTGTGTCCATATCGATGGTGGTCTTTTTTTTTTTTTTGGTTTGATCGACATGAAAAACGGACTTTTGGTGAGGATAACGTGTAGAGAGAGAAAAATACGGTGATTATCCCATGGGCAAACAAGGACCAAGGAAACCCCTGCTTGTACGGCTTGCTGGTTTCAGTGGACGGGGAGCCCGGGACCGCGGGAGAGACACGAAGAAGAGCGGAAAGGATCGAGCGAGGGAGAGGGAGACATGGATGATGGATCCAAGGTTTTTGGTTGCAGTGTAGGTGAGCAGAGCATGGGTTAAGCAAGAAGGATACGGTCGCAGAAGATAACAATCAAGTTTGGACTTTAAACTACCCCATGGATAGGAACTACTAGCATCGTGGCATTCATACTACTACTACTACTACTCCAAGAAAAAGAAGCCATCCCGCCTTCAATGTCTTCGGTTGACGCCGTCACTCTCAAACACTGACGTCTCGTCCCGTCCCCTGTCAACGATCCCTTTTCATCTCCAGAAAAGAAGGTCAAAAGGAAATGGTCACCCCCCGCTTTCGAAGGGTTCTTTTGGGGTCAGATCATATCCATTCATTCCCCCCTTGGCAATCTTAATAAACAAAATCCCGTCCGCTCGCGGGTAACGGGAATCCCCTCTCGACGTCACCGGTATTTTAGAAGCGAAGATTTTGACTTTCGTTGAAGGGCCTCCCTGGTCCCTTCGGTATATCTTTTTAGTTGCTTGTCGTGTGACTTTGTGCGTTCTCCGATATCTTGTCGCCGATCTCAGGGTTTGAGCCAAGGAGACAAAGAATGGCCTGTTGCCCTGCAATCTTGTCTCCTCCCAGCCTTCAACAGCTGAACACAGCACAGAAAAAAAAAGAAAATAGTGTTGATGCCTGCTTTTCTCACAACGCTAGCATGTCGCCTAGTCCCTCTTCAGAAGGGGTTCGCGGCCGCGGCCAAGGACTCGGCGTCTACATCTGCAAGTTCCGGGTGGGATGATGGCACGATGCGGGCATGCAGCTGTTGTGTGGATGGTTCATGAAGCTATCAAGCGACCAGGTGGCTGGATGCTACGCTGAGATCTTGGAGTTTTTGAGCTATAGGATCCGCCTCTTATTTGTTTCCCATGTTGAAAAGACGGGACGAAATGTTGGCATTTTGCACAGATATCTTGGTCGGTTATTGTCCAGGGACCGTATAAGAGACTGCGAAAACTTGGGGATGGAGTTTCTTGGCCAAGACGAGCACGCACCACATCCAACTTTCAACACCATGACCGCCCAACACGAACCGAACCCCAACTCCCCATTTTTAAGCGCTGCTTCCCCTCTCTTAGATGCTACCTACAGTACACCCACCTTGATAGGTGACCCTTTTCCCTCACCACCACCAGGCAAGCGAGGTTCGAGGCTGCGTTCCTCCAATTGTCCAATCGTCTTGCTCTCCCTTCCCATTTCGGCCCCCCTAGTGAGAAATCGTATTGTTATGGTGGGTAAATGTAAACAGGAGGGACCCTTGATTACCAACAACACGCGCGGTGTGGCAAATCGGTTCATCATGTCTCAATCTGCGACGCTATTCCCATGTTCAGAGGAGGGTCACGCAGAGCAACGTGGGGGGAAAGAGAGAAAGAAAGAGGTTGGGATGCAGGCTTAGAGGGTCCTCAAGATCCTACATGTCTGATATGCTGTGATCTGTAGATATCAGCTCACACATAGATTCGCGGTCTAACCCGAGCTTTTCAGCCTCTTGATACCAATGGGTGGGTGACGACAAAGGAAAAGGATGGGATGTTGCGGCATCATCCAGCCGTCAACTGGCGTCTATTGAATGGTTCTTGTTCCTCTTGTCCGCCATTTCCCGCCATAGTCGCCCTGACCGCCAGAACTTGAGGGGAGCATCCATCATGAACCTAGACAGGCAGAGCGTGTGGTTGAGGCTCCGTTTTTAGCCTCCCCCGGGAAACCTTGGCCGGGCCCCTCCTCATGACTGCATTCCGCCATATTCGCACATGTCAACAAAGGACCCCCAAAGTTCCAAGTACAAGAAAAATCATTTTAGCGACTTTCTCGTCAAAAAGTGTGTCTTGCATGTCATGTCACGCACGACCAAGAAACCCTGCCAGAGCTGGGGGAGGGGGGAAACGGGATGGGGTCTGTGATACGAAGCACCACGTTGCCACTGGCTGCAAGTTGTGTCCTTGAAAGGACGGGATTTTGAGGTGCCTTTCTTCCAATACGCTATTCCAATACGCCAGGCCTTGCCCGAGACAGGCCCTTCGAATCACGAGCTTGGTCACTGTCGCCGTTGCGTGTTTGGCTGCGCCCGTCATGCCCGTAAGCCGAATGTGAATGTATCTGTAGCTTCAGGGGTCCCACCTCCTGCAAGCCGCCCGCCACCAACGGCAGTCGATGGACGTAAATATCCAGGCGAGAGAGAACTCTCGTGATTTGGGCTAGTCTGGCCGAATTCAAAGGCAGGCCTGGGTGCCGTATCTTCTTAACTCCGTCATCGCTTGCCGCAACCGGCCCCGTCCGGTCTGTCGTCGTCCGTGTTTTTGCGGCACACGAGGGCAGCGTCATGTATGGTAACCATCGGAACGCCCGGTATCGACATTTTTTTCATGATTCTCGATCCGGAGCAAGAGATGCCGTGATTTCGGTGTTACTTGGGAATCTCAACACCTCGGTTGAGGAACGGGAGAGCTGTTGAGAGGGGGCATGTACCCGTACATTCTGCACCTCATCACGTCTTTTTCTCGTCATGGTACAATGTCCGTCTGTATTGAGTTTGAACAGGTCCCCAGACTAGGCAGAGCTAGACATGAGCTTGTGGGAGCACCCGAGATCGCAGTACAGTAGTTGCACGACCAGTGGAGAGATCAGGAACAAGTAGGAATTCACGTGCTCTTCTGATTTACTGGGTCGATCAAAAGCTTGTCTATGATACCCATATCTTTTGATCAAAACTGCACAATAGAGTTTTGCTTGTGCACTTTTCAGCAGCCTCAATGAAACTCCAATTCATGTGACAAGTCTAGGGTAAGCTACTTTTTCTCCTTTGGGTCACATTATGGCGATAGCCTTCCCCGCCGACCACTCACAAGCCTGCATTGGGGCAGGTGGTCCCCCGCAGGTGGCCCAAGCTCCTCCTGCTGACGTCCATGTCATGGCGTAACTTCTCTCCACCGACGGGAGCCTCAGCCTTGTCAACATCTAGATCTTACAACCACCAACTTGCTCTGCAGCAGCATCTGTATACCCCCCTTTGGCCTCTGCCGCGGCTCCGTTTGTATTCGGGGCTTTCCCTATTATTCTTTTAATACTCTAATGTAACTTGGGCCAAAAAGGTCGCCCCCGGCCCCACCTCCGGCTCCGACATTGACCTTGGTACTTGATTCCCGACGCTTCCGCTTCAGCTTCAGCCTTTCGATATGATCGGGAAACAGGGCTATCACGTCCTCCCAGGCCATCTGGGCCACCTGGGCTATCCTCGACGCCTACCGCTACTGATTGGAGGCGCCGTGGTATTCATCATGTGCATATTCTACCTTCTCGTCACGTTCGCGCCCTGCCTCGTCTACGGCTCGTGTTATCAAGGCTACTTGAGCGCCTTCAGCTTCGACGCCAACCTCGCCCATAACCCAACATGGATGGCTTCCATCCCCGACGAGGTGCCGCTCTCGAGCCTCAGCGTACCCGGTACGCATGATACCATGACTTACGAAATTGGCGACGAATTCCTTCAATGCCAGAACTGGAATCTGTCTACCCAACTGAATGCAGGCGTTCGCTACTTCGATATCCGGGCCCGCCTACGCGAGAATGATTTGCACATTTACCACGCCTGGGGTTACACTGGCTTCAGTTTCGAGGATGTTGTCCATGATATGACAGAATTCCTGGACAGCAATCCTTCCGAGACCATCATCATGCGCCTCAAGCAGGAAGGTGGTCCCATTGGCGAGGGCAACACTAGAACATTTGAAGATGCCTTCAACCGGCATTCCTTTGGAGACCACCTTTACAACTACAGCTCCACTGAACCCCTCCCATTGCTCGGCGATCTTCGTTCCAAGATCTTTGTGCTTCAGAACTTCCCAGATAAGGAAGGTCCTTATGGCGTTAAATGGGAGGGTTCTCAGATGATCCTTGAGGACCTTTGGATAATTCCCGACGTCTATCATTTGTCGGAGAAATGGACCGCGATCCGCACAGCTCTTGAGATGGCTGCAACAGCGAGGCACGACAACAAGGCCCTCTATCTCGCCCACCTCTCCGCATCGGTCGGAGTCAAGCCGATTGAGGCCGCTGCTGGCCCCAGGAACAGGACCATCACGGGCATGAACGACATGACTGGTCAGTGGATCGAGGATTTTGAGAACAACCCAGAGGCGACACGCACCGGAATTGTCATCATTGACTTTCCCGGGCAGAAGCTCATCGATGCCATCATCCGGTGGAACAGACCTCTGGAGAAGGGACGTCGTTGGTCAAGGTCAAGCCTGCTCAGCTGAAAGAGAGAATCACACTTGCATACCTCACAGGCGCAGCTGATACGTGTATTCAAGAATCCTCCAATTTCCAGCCGTCAGCTCCGCTCAACGACAACCCAACCATGACTGACACTGACAGCCTCGACGAATCAAAGAATTGCCAAATCATTCCACATCCGTTAAAGGCCCCTCCCCAGAAAATGATGATTTTCACTTTGGATCCAACCCACCCGCTGATCCATTCCCTCCCCTGCATCTGACGTGGATCCCATGGCGTCCCGGTGCGTGTTTCATGAGAGGAGCGGGCTTGATGAAAAAAGAGGAGATCGTCAGGGACAAGCAAACACCAACAGAAATCAAGGAATGACCCGACAACGCACGTTTTTTTCACCCTGTTCCCGGGTTCAAGTGTTTATTTTTTCCTTTTATCCATTGGTGATTCCGGACGCTTCTTCCGACCGCGGTCTTTTTTCTTCAATGGATACACACCGTCCCCGGTCGGCGATGCGTTGTCCTTTACTTGCACGAGAGGCGTTTGTATTTGGTGGTTATGACTGTCTGGATGCGTCGAATATGGATTGAGTCTGAAGGATTTGTTCTCATCAAGGATGGATTTGGTATCCTTTGTATTGTTATTGTATCACTCCAACCTGGTACTCGTAAGATGGAACAGGGACTATCGAGTGAGAGAGAAGGGTTGAATCACCCCCTAGAACGCAAAATCCTTCCTTTCATTGCTTCTTCCTTGCTTGATAGAATTCCTGGGCACATAGATACATACATACATGAGGGCATAGATACATCCATGGATCCATCCCAAGGCGTACAGTACAATACATACATTTAAACCCGAAAAAAAAAAAGTTTCAAATTCCCCAAATAAAACCCCATTTCCCAAAAAATGCCATTAGAAGCAAATGCCAAGCAATCCTGATGCTGATGCTGATAATGTCCCTGCACCCAAACACCCTGCCAATTAACTTATGAACCCTTTTGCAAATAAATCAAATCAAAAAACAACAGAGCCTTTTTTACGTGAATCGTGTGGGACTGGGACTTCCCTCACGGCTCAGACTCTCAAAGCTGTCCACCATGGCCAGGACGCGCGTCCGTGGTCTCTCGCGAGTCAGAGGCATGGCCTGGGCCTCCATGACGACGCCCGAAGAGGGACGACCGTCGGTAGAGTGGGAGAGGTGAGGTTCGAGCGGAGCGAGGTCGACGTGGTGCATCAAGCCCACCGAGTTGCTCGACTCGCCCCTCATGTGGTGTCTCCTTCGGCGGTTGGGGGACGGTGACGGGGAGGGAGATGGAGATGGAGATGGGGAGGGGGAGTGGTGGTGGAAGAGGGGTTGGAGGTGGGCGGATTTTGGTGGTTGAGGTGTTGAAGGCAGCTCAGGTTGTGGTTGAGGAGGTTGTTCGGGTGGTGATGGCTGCGGCTGTTCACGCTTCTTGGGCTCTTCCACTTCCACCTTTTCCTCCTCTGGACGCTTGAACCGTTGTACCGGCACCGGCTTCTCTTCAACCACCGGCTCCTTTTCCTGGATGAGTTGTGGCTTCTCCTGAACCAGGGGGGTCTTTTCCACGAAAGGATCATCATCATCATCTTCTTCCACGAGAAGATGAGATTTCTCATCGAGAGAAGCCTTCCTTTCATTAACAAGAAGAGGCTTCTCTCGGAAAGGATGTTGTTTCTCCTCAACAAGATGCTGCTTCTCAGCCATCTTCTCATCCATCTCATCTTCTTCATCGTCATCATCATCATCATCATCGTGACGAAGACCACCCCTGAGCACAACCCTCTCCTCCTCTTGGCGAACCCTGCTCCTGAACGAAGTCCTCCTGAATGTCCTTTCCTCCTCGTGATGCTCTGCGCTGACTGTTCGTTGACTCTCCTTCTCGGGATCCACGAGCACAGCTGACTGCGGCTTCACCGGCACCTCGTTCTCGCGGTCGCTCTCAGAGTCGTTGCCGCCGTTGACCACCCTCAGACGCTCCCTAGGCACCGTGAACATGACCTGCACGAGACGTTGCTCTACCGCCTTTTCAATATCCCAGTCTGACTCGCCACCGGGCTCCAGACCACCAGCTCCTCCCGACATCATGGCATCCCTAGACGATGACCCGGGAACAGCGCTCAGGTCCTCCCAGTCCTGACGGCCTTGCTTCCGCCTAAGAAGCTCGCCGCGCAGACCAACGAGGCCGGGCTCATAGTCACCGCACACAGGTTCTTGATCGAACGAGCGTCGAACTTGGGCCATATCTTCACGAGAGGATGTCGGTGTACTAGATCCGGAAAAGACTCGTCTGAGGGAACCGAGCCATCCTCGGCGCGGCTTCGACTTGGAAGGTGATGAAGGCTCGTCGTCATCATATCTACCAGGAGCGCGATCACCCATAAGGAGCGCGGGACCCTCGGCCTGAAGAACGCCAAACGATGAGCGTGCCGTGTTGTAGCTGCTTGACGATGTCGAGCTACCCGGCTTAGGGTGCTCGGCGCCAGCTGCTAGGAACGTAGGAGCGAGAGGGTTGAGTTGACGGGCCTTGGCCTTGATGCTCTCTGCTGCGCTTCGTGCCGACTCGGACAAGTTAGATCCGCTTCGGGACTCATCGTCGCGCAGAGCAACAGAGCGGTTCGAGTTACGTCGTGTAGGTGAGACACGGCCTTGCCCTTGAGTTTGGTTCTGGCCTTGGTTCTGAGCACCTTGCTTCTGGCCATGTCGGCTGTTCATACGAGCGAGAAGTCCTTCAGCGGCATCAACATCAGAGACCCAGTCCTGAACCTCAGGATCATGTCGTGGGCTCTCAGGGCTAGGCGTAGCGGAAGCTCGACCACCAGGAATCAAGAATGCGGGTGGGGGGATAGCACCGGCTGTAACGGGAGTCTGGAAGGGATCTGAGGGAACTTCGGAAGTAGGCGTGTGGACAGAGTCATGCACTCGGTGATTGTGGTATGATTCTTCTTCGTCGTCCTCGTAGATGGGATGAATCGGTCCTGGGAAACTTCCTGGTCGTGGCCCTGTGGCCACATAACCACCACGGGATGGTCTCGGCATGGGCTTGTGAGGGATGTGAAGGCCAGGCAGGTTTCCTCGGTTGCCTCGCAGAGACTCGTAGCCGAGCGATCGCTCACCAGCAACGTAAGGGTCAGCGCCGGTATACCAAGGAACACCACCGGTTCCCCAAGGGTCGTCATCTCGCTCCATCATCTCTTCTCGTCCGGAGGAAAAGTGGCTGGCATCCTGAGACAGAGCACGAACAGCCTGGTCACGATTCTCACGGTGTCGCTTACGTCTCTTGCACCAGCAAACCGCAGCAATGATCAGGGCAATCAGAACAGCGACACCAAAGCCCAGACCCAGACCCAAGCCAAGTTTCTTAGAGTTGGAATGACTCTGGTTGTCCTTGGGAGCATTGTCGCTCTCACTCTCAGAAGGCAACTCGCCGGCCAGGGGGTTCTTATAGTCGTTCTCCCAAGATCCAGAAGTAATATTATAGAAACGGAGCGAGCCTGACACGGCCTGGCGCTTCGTCTTGCGGCTTGAAGTAGAGCCAGAAAGCTCCCAACCGCCATAGACCATGAGCATGTTGCCAGGCAAGACTGCCGCACCGTGTCCATAGAGTCCAGTAAAGTCGGGCTGCTCCTCTGGGATCTTCCACTGCCATCCGCTGTAAGCATCGCTCATCTCGAGAATGGCAAGCTGAGGCTCGGCAGGGGTGTTGACGTCCTTGACCCATCCTCCCAAAACAATGATGGAGTTTCCGTCCTCACTAAGAGTCGCAGTGTGTCCGGAGCGACTGTAGACATTGTCCGCAGTGTTCTTTGTGCTCCTACGGGTCGTCGTGGACTTGACCGTGAGATCCGTGTTGGGAACCTTGACATCTGGCGCTTGGATGTCGACATAACTCCAAGACTCAGCGGGCAAGTTCCACACGGCTACGGTGCTCATGTTGATAAAGGCCGACTCGCTATGTCCACCAAGGAGTACATAGCTGGTCTGCTGGGTGACGATGCCAGACCTGTTAGTAATGGAAGGTGTCAGGCCTGTAAGGGTAAAACCAGCAATCGGGACGCGCGATCCGCTGCTGGAAGCCACACTCAATGTGTATGGTGTGTTGGCGTTTCTGTTTGTAGGCGCAAGGCTTATCATGGTCCTTGTGTAGTTGGCCTCAGCCTGCCAAGTCTTGGGAGCGCTGGATCCAGAGTCGGGTGTGGTACACATGCCACCGTAGGTATACATAGTCGGCTGGTCCATCCTAGGAGCAAGCATGGACGAAAATGCGACAGTAGCGCCGAGAAAGTAAGGCGCACGACGACGGTCGCCATCATCGCCGAGGCCACGTCGAGTCCAGTCACCTCCCTCCTCCGGGTCGAAGCTCCAAACATCGCCGCTGCCGGTCTTACAGTCGCCCGCGTAAACGAGCACGGAACCGTTGGCTGTCCTGGCGGCGCCAAACGCCGTGCTGCTGGACTTGTCCAGAAGAAACGGGAGAGAGGTCCTCCCGGCAGGGCGCTCAAGGTCGACGTCGTCAGCGCTGACGCTCTGGGAAAAGTTGAGGGCGCGGAACTCGATGCTGTCAGAGGCGGTCTGTCGGAAGATGTAGGCCAGGTCAGAGGCGGCGCAAGGTACGGTATGGTCGATACATGGGCGATCGGGCATGAGGAGCTGAGTAGGCACGTAGGGGAAAGAGTGCGCGGCAGCCGGAGAGGCGAAGAGGATGACGGTGATGGTCAAGAGTAGTAGAGTGGTGATTGTCATGGTTGGCTGTGCCGAGCACCGGCTTCGGTTGTTGGTCGTTGAAGCCATCGTGGTGGCGTGTGGTCTGGTGTGTTACTCAGACAAGAGACGATGGGGGGTAGGTAGTCTGTCTGTCTGCTTCGTCTCTGCTCATGCGCTGTTTCTCGCCGACGATACTGCTGGGCTCTCTCTTACTCAGAGCATCATCATCGTCGCCGGCGCAGTTCGTAGTCGGTTGGTGTTCCTATCGTTCCTCGCTATCCTTCCTTGCGTAGAGTATCTTTTGCGGTTGCGTGTCGCAAGAGCGCAGTCGCAACAGTGTTGAGAGAGGTATGATCGGCGCTCTGTGGGAGATTGCTTCAAGAATTCTGTGCAATGTCTCGGCCTCACAGTGCGGTCTTGGAAGAGAGGATTCGAGTCGAGTCTTTTCTCTTGCAGGCCTAGAACACGGGCCGCTCTTGGATCGGGTTGTCCCACGCTTGGGGGAAAGTGGTTCAAGACTAAGTTGGATGACGAGGAAGAGGAGCAGACTTGAGGAAAAGAGCAGAGTAGACCCAAACAATAGAGAAACGGCAGTGAACAAGAGCAACCACATGTAATGAGCAGGGGGTCCCCTCCTCTAGTCCCGGGGTCTCGAGCTATATCCTCCACCTCGTGCACCTAGAGTTTGTGACTGGGCTTATCTTGTCAATAGCTGGCCCGTCTGATGGTCTCATTCGACAATGGCTCCCGCAATGGCTGCCGCCCTCGGCTTGGCATGGCCCGATTCGAGGGAGAGAGGCCAATCGACGAGCTCCCTCGAGGTCCGGCGAGCTGTGCAGGTGGGTTGTTTTGGTCGACGGTTGCCACGGAGACTCGAAGCTCTTTCCGGTGGCGGGTGGGGCCGGTGATGGAGGGCATAGGAGGGGTGCTTTAGCCTTGGGCGGGAGGCAAGGATATTGAAGATATCACATGTGGCATCCTTGTAGACGTAGCAGAGACGGATTCTGTCGTACATGTGTTTGCATCGATATCATGTTTGCAAACAATCAAACATCACGACGGCTTCTGCTCTGACACTCAAGCCTCTAAACCGCCGAGACAAGCTGGTTCCGTCGAGGGTCTAGGTGTGGCTTCGACAGCGGCTGTGGCTGTGCGCTCGCTCCCCGGCAAGTGGGTGCAATGGTCAAATGTCATGGCGTCGCGTCACAAATCCCTGCCTTTCGTTTGCGTCCGTGGATTCACCCCAACAACCAACGTCCAAATTCAGTTCAGTCACTTTCTGTCTCTGGTTGCTTACTCCTGCTTCATGTCTCTCCTCCCTTGATTGTACCCTTTGTTCAATGTCTTGGCTATTGTTAGAAATATTACATCTCAATCTCAAGATATCAATCTCGTCATAAATACTGTTTGTTGACCTCCAACTGACTTTACTTCACATTTCAGCTCAACGCATGTCAAGACGTATCCGCTCAATCAGCTGAGCTTATGGAGCCATGTACGCTGCCGATCATACTAGGGTAAACCTTGCCGAGTCATCTATAGTTGCCCAATCAACTATCAATTGTACCAACAATCCGCTATCACTCACTCCGCTCTCAGAGCTGACAGATCCATCCTCGCCTTGGGTGGGTGGTACTCCAGGACCCTGGCAATGGATATCTCATGCCCATCATCACAACAGCATGAACCATTACTGGTTCGCATCGTGCATACATGCATTAGCATTACTATTCATTCACTACCTATCTGTCCTAACAAACGAATAACCTCCCCAAAGCCACCTCATAAGACCTATGAATCCAATGAAAGGGTCGTGACACTATTTCGTGAGCTATCCACCATCCCAGTAACTGATGTTCAAATCCAAACTCTTCCTCCTCTTGTTAAATAACACAGCCTGATAGCCGGCATGTGCTTGGGTATCACACTGTCAAAACTATTTTCCTCTCTAGTAGTAAATCTTCTCGCTCCAGATCGGAGGTCGGGCTTCCTCCGTGTCCCACACGATGTGGTTCTTGTCATCCAGCGTGCAACCCTCATCTGAGATGGGGATCACCTTGCTTGTGTTAAACACCTCCTGCTTCGACACGCCAGCCGGGTCGGCGGGAATCCAGAGCACGGGTGTTGCGCTGGTCACCGATGGAGGGAAGTAGGCATCTCTCTCGACCTCGTCCGTGTACTGGCGGTCAAGACCCAGTGAGTTCTCGTGGGGGACCAGTTGGCGCAGGGTGGCATAGTCGGCATAGAGCCAGGGCTTTAGCCACTTCACGAAGAAGTTACCCTGCTTCTGCACACCATCTGCTCCACCAGGGAGGAGCTTGCGAGCCCCGTTGGCGATGCCGCCGCCATTGCTGGGACCAGCACCGTTGTTGGCCTGTCCCTCCTCCAGCTCAGAGCCCTGCTGGCTTCTCTGGATAGCCTCCTCCTCAACCTCGAGGGATCGGGGCAGGCTGTACAGGAGGGGGTCGAGGGCCCGCGACATGGTGATCTGGAACAGGATGGTGAAGATGAGGAAAGCGGCCATCAAGACAGCGGGTCCAGCAGCCTTGGACACGATAAACATGCCAACCATGCAGACCTCGGCGATATAGACACCGACAAAGAGGTGCTTCAGGGCACGAGGGTAGATAAGACCATGAGTGTCGATAGTAGTCTCAGTGACGAACAGAATGTTGTAGCGGTACGCGAGGTAAAACAGACCCAGGCCGATGGTCGACCAGAAGAGCGTAATGGGAGCAATGACAGCGTAGACGATGCCTACATCCATGTTAAACAAAGTACAAGGCGAAATCACCAGTTGATTACTTACTGATCAGGGCGATAGTGGTGTAGACGGGCAAGAGACTTCCCCACATGATACCGCTGAGCGTCGTCCACTTGGTGTACATGGCTCGGGGAGTACCGGCAAGGAACTTGTACAGGATCTGGAAGATGACGCAGCCCACAACCTGGGTCAGCACGCTGGTAGCAATCGTGAGACCTTGCACGATAAAGTACGAGATGTAGAAGTTGGACGACGTGGGGATCGAGCTCGAGAGCATGGTGAAGACTTGGCTGGGGTCCTTGACAATGGTAGCGATGGAAGCGACGGCACTGTCGGCAAGTGTGCGAACAAGGAACACCTGCAGGACCTGGAAGCAGAAGTAGGCGTTCTGCGTGAACAGCTCAGTCTGAGACAGAGAAACGCAGCCAGCCAGCTTGGCACAAATGCGCATGAAGACGGGAACCAGAGACATGAGGATAGAGAGGGCGATAGATGGGAGAAGACCAGAAATGACACCAAGGAGCCACTGTACGACAGGTTAGCAATGAATATGGCGGGAGGAACTTGTTATCAACTTACGCTGGGAATGTCCGCGATCCAGGTCAGGCCAGGAAGCTCCTTGATGGTATCAACCTGAGCAATGATACCCACAATGGCAACAGGAATGGCCCAGAAGATAATGAGAGCGGCGATGATGGCGTAGACGGCATAGCGACGGATAAAGAGCTGCCACCAGGGAATGGACAGACTCTTCCAGACAACCTCCTCTGGCTTCACTCCAATGTATCGGGGTGCCATGTGAAGGGCATGGTGATGAGTGGTGGTCTGGAAAGCGGCCTGGGCGTCGGACTGGGTGAAGAACTCGACAAAGACAGCATTGTGCTTCTGGTAGTTTCCAGAGAGCCACTCAGCCTGAGCATTGTCGGCCTTGGGGATCAGCTTGCTAAGCTCCTCACGACCCCATTCGATAGTGTCAACCTTCTTGCCAATGAGACCAAGGGGTCCAAGACGGTGAGTAGGGCGCTTCTTGTCGGTGATCCAGCGGGCAGCAAGGTTTCCAGACTCGGGATCCGAGGGAGCGGAGGCAGCCTTCTCAGCGTCGGCACCAGACTTCTTGATGAGGTTGGCGCGCTCCTTATTGACCAACTTGAGAAGCTTGACCTCTCCCTTCTCCAGCTTCATGGCGGTCTCATCACGCTCCTTGACAATCTCGTCCAGCTCCTTGGTGTCACCTGGGAACCAAACGTTCTTGACCGAGTCGTTGAAGAGGGTGCGAATGCGGGCCTCATCGAGGTACTCCTCAGGGACAGATGTGAAGAGGACGGTTCGGGACGAGATGCGCTTAGCATACTGCGGGGTGAGGAGGAAAGCCTGGCGGACGTTGATGTAGAAGATACACTCGCGAAGAATGGTGTAAATGACAAAGCCGTAGACGATCCATGCGACAAAGCAATGGGCATAGAGGCGGTTCCTCTGAGTTGAATCCGTAATGTTGATGTTAGACCAACCGAGAATCTCGAGCTGCTTCTTTCCATTGCCGCCGGTGGCGTTGATGGGGAAGAGGATGGGCCAAGTGATGCACAAGCTCACAAAGCAGATGGTGCAGCAGATTCGCAGGAAGCGGATAAACAGGTAGGAATCGAGACTCTGATGCTGCAGAGCGTAGGAATCGGGGATCTTCCAGAAGGCAGAAAACCAGTTGAAGAAACCGTTGGGTAGTTCTGGACTCCGTTCCCTGCAGGAGCGTTAGTAGGCCCGGAAAACAGTTGCGGCGACGGGTAGAATCTTACTGTTCTCGCAAGGAGCCTAGATATGTTCTTGGCGCATAGAAACGTCGGTTAGACTTTCTGAAAAACAAAAAGATTACGATGTAAACCGCCGTCGTGATAAGGACGGGGACGAGGGTAGACACCATGCCTGGACATGATCAGCTCTGCTCCGCGACTGCATCCTGAATACTTTTGAAAGACATACCCGAAAGGGACTGGGGTTGGGTTCCTCGCGCATCACCCTGATTCGGGTCGGGGAGATTCTTCTCCAACCAACTGATAAAGTTACCCATGATGACGGCCCGGCAATATCTCTAGATCTATCCGGGTCGTGGGCCCTCGCGTTGGGCAAGCTCGATTAGGTCGTTTACTCTCGATTCGATGTTTTCGACGATCGCGCGACGTCGGGGAGATGCTGATGGAGAAGCGATTTGGAGGGAGGGGGAGAGATTATGAAGGATTGAGCAAAATGCGGGTGGTTGTCCTGTTGGTCGATGGGAATATCGCACGGTAGAGGTGGAGTCCCAGTTCAGCTGAACCAGAGAAGGAGGCAA